CCCCCAGCTGCTCTCCCCCCCCCAGCAGACCAGGGAGACGGGGAGCAAAGCCGCGGAGCACGCCCGCAGCGGGACAGCCCAGGCGCGCCGCAGCTGTCCCACTGCGGGCGTGCTCCGCGGCTTTGCTCCTGTCCCCCTGGTCTGCTGGGGGGGTCCAGCAAAGCCACTGGACCCCCCCAGCAAACCAGGGAGACCAGGAGAAGCTTTTCTCACCCCGGAGGACACGGGTGGCGACCTGCCGCCCGTGAGCTCCAGGGCGAGAAAAGCCCCATTCATAAGTGTGGATCTGACATAAGTCAGATCCGCGTAAGTCGGGGACTGCCTGTATTTAAAAAGAAAAATGCTCTCGCGACGCACGGAAGGGAGGAAATGCAGAACAGAAAGAGCACTTTCAGAACCAGTACAGAGCTTCATGAGTGGACACCAGATACATGTTTTAACAGCCCGGGCATCAGTACTCAGAGGCCTGAAATGACCCATTTATGTGGTGTAGTGTGGAAACAGGAATGGAAATACATTTAAAATGTCTGTGAGAGAGCCCAACACGGCTCCTGAATGCTAAATGCCTGACTACTGGGCAATGTCCCACGCATTTTTTCATCCATGTGTGGAATAAATTTTGTTCGATGCACCGAGGCCTGTGCTGATGTGCACCACCAGAACAAGCACTGACTGTGGGCACTCTGCTAATCAGTTGGGTGGCACCTGAATCTCTCTGGGAACGCTGGCCCTGGGTTCTCAGGTATTGCAGGTGTCCACTTTGCCTTCTGTGTTTGGCCAGAAAGGTATGACCTTTGTCCTCTGACCTCACCACAGTTGCCCTACCTGTGTAAGCTACAGATCTGGTCACTGAAGTGTGCACACCAGGGAGCCCCTCTTAGGCATCATCTGGTGCAGAATCCAGCTGCTGCTCTTCTTGGGATATTTGTCGTGTGGAACGTAGTAGCCATGGAGCCTGCCCAGCTCTCCAGGGCTCGTCATGGGATTAGCTTTGATATGTGAAACCCTTTGCACCCTAGCCTGGCTCTAGCCTGCCTTCAACACTACCTCTCTTCCCAACACTTCTGCTAACAGCCCCGTGACAGGGCGTTTGCCTTGCACTGGCCTTTGAGGGGCAAACCCCAGCCCTGAGCAAGGGCTGAGAGCAGAGCCCCAGCTGAGGCAGCTCTGCTAATGAGGACCCAGCTGGGGGCCATATAAAGAAGGGCTCCTGGTGGGAGGGGGAGAACTGACTGATGCTCTGGAGAGAGAGCAGGAGGGACCTGACTGCCAGGGAAGAAGGAGGCTTCCTGAAGGTAGAGCAGAGCTGGGGAAGGCAGGCTGAGCTGGCATTGGAATTAGAGTTCATCCGCAAATTCAATTCACATGCTAATGGTCTCAACTGTAATGAAAGTTAGTTGGGACACTACCATTCAAGGTGCTAACAGCTCTTTGTGTAGACTCTTACGTCAGGAAGGATACTATCTATTGACTTTCAATCTTATCTGCTTCCTTTTAACTACCCAGTCTTCAGGTGAAACAAAAAACAGGACTGTGTAGCACTTAAAAGACTAACAAGATGGTTTATTAGGTGATGAGCTTTCGTGGGCCAGACCCACTTCCTCAGATCAAATAGTGGAAGAAAATAGTCACAACCATATATACCAAAGGATGCAATTAAAAAAAAGTGAACACATATGAAAAGGACAAACCAAATTTCAGAACAGAAGGGGGATGGGGGAGGGGAGGTAAATGTCTGTGAGCTAATGATCTAAGAGGTGATAATTGGGGAAGCTCTCTTTGTAATGGGTAAGATAATTAGCGTCTTTATTCAAATTTGCATGTAAAGTGTCAAATTTAAGCATGAATGACAGTTCAGAGGATTCTCTTTGAAGTGAAGTCTTAAAAGGCCTTTGAAGCAGGATGCAGGTAATCAAGTTGTTGAGACAATGTCCTTTCTGGTTGAAATGGCAAGAAACTGTTTTTTCTTTGTGATCCTGTCTAATATCTGTTTTGTGGGCATTGATCCTTTGGCGAAGTGTCTGAGACGTTTGTCCAATGTACATAGCAGACGGACACTTTCGGCACATGATAGCATAAATTATATTTCTGGATGCGCAGGAATATGTGTTCTTGATCTTCTAACTCACTTGGTTAGGTCCAATAATTGTCTGGCCCACGAAAGCTCATCACCTATTAAACCCATCTTGTTAGTCTTTAAAGTGCTACACAGTCCTGTTTTATGTTTCAGCTGCACCCTCCCCTTCCCCTCTCCTATTTATTTTGAGTGTGCACATCCTAAACTCATAACTCCGGTCATCTGAAGAAGTGGGCTGTGCCCACAAAAGCTCATGATACAATCTACCTGTTTTGTTAGTCTATACGGTGCTACCAGACCATTTGTTGTTGTTTTTCTGTAAAGGTATGTATACACTTGCCCGTAGTTCGAACTAGGGAGGCAGATGAAGCATACTGAAGTTGCTAATGAAGCGCGGGATTTAAATATCCTGCGCTTGATTAGCATATTCGCGGCCGGTCACCATTTTAAAAAGCCGGGTTCCCGGAGGAGTAACAGTTAATTCGAGGGAAGGGTTTTGTATCAGACTACCGCGTCTACATGCGGCAAGTTAATTCAGGCTACTGGCTTTTAAAAATGGCAACCGGCCGCGAATATGCTAATCAAGCGTGGGATATTTAAATCCCGCACATCATTAGCAACTTAAGTATGCGTCATTTGCCTCCCTAGTTCGAACTAGGGGGCGAGTGTAGACATACCCTAGCAGACTAACTCAGCTACCCCCTGAATATTCTGGAATAGTTATTCCAAAATAGCACGTTTACACTGCAGGGAAGCCTCAGAATGAGTCCGAGGCAGGGTTCCCTAATGTAGACGTGCTATCTCGATTTAGAGCCCCAGGAGGCACTGGGGAGGAATAACGTAGAACGGCCCTGGTGAGGGGCTAGTTCGAAATAGCAGCAGTGGAGCATCCACACACACCTTCTTTTGAAATAGCTATTTCGGAAGAGGCGTTATCCCTTGTAGAATGAGGTTTACACACTTCAGAATAAGTCACCCGTTATTTCGAAATAACGGAACGGCTGTGTAGACGCTCGCATTATTTCGAAATAACGGTAGTTATCTCGAAATAACGGTGCAGTCTAGACGCACCCTCCGTGGTCTCAGTGCTACTCCACAGGACAATGCCCCATACCCAAGGTGTGGGGGTTCCACAGACACAGGACAGTCTGAGGGCTGTCTCGTTATACTGTACGTGACCTGCAATTCAGCCAGCTTCTTACCAGGGCACCGTGGTGCCCACCAAGAGTCGCCTTCCGTCCTCTGAATTAGACTCTTGTTTGAAAGAGGGTACGCTCTGCTGGTGACATTTTGACTCCCATGCACTAACCGGTCAAAGCTGTTCATTTTATTCTGGTAGGAGAATGTTGAAAGCTCTGGGAGAAAACGGGATGGAGCTGGGGCTTTGCCACGTGAACACGTAAGGCGAGGAAGAAATCAGACTCACGTATTTCCCTCCCCAGGGTTAAAATACAACGCCACCATCGACGAGCGACGGTACACGCCTCGGGCTCATCTGGATGAAAACAGCGACCGGCACACTCAGAAGCTGGTCACGTTGTCGGCCGGAGAAGAACACTGTGACAAGCTACATTTTCACGTCCTGGTAAGTAGAAATGGGACCAAACTTGGAGATTCCCTTGGTAGTCAGTGGAGAGTTAGATCCAGCCAGGTAGAAGACTTCTGCTTGGCAAGGATCTTCATGCAAAACAGAAACACATCAGGAAGCAAGCAAAGAGGCAAAGCGGATGTGCCTGGAGTGCATCACATGGCTGGAAATCAGGCGAGGGTTTATCTCTACGTCCGGATTTATTATGGCTGGGTTTGATGTGGTTAAGGATGAAATCCTCTCCCAGGGAGCTGCTGAAATTTTATAGCTGCTCAGGCTGCTATGCGAGCCAGCATGGGGTCTGAACGCCTTCCGATCCCTGGTTTATTCTTTTTTCTAAAAGCCTTTTATCATGTCAGCACTGTCGTGTTTGGAATTCATACCTGGTAGCACTGATCTCTTTTGAGGACGCCTTTGACAAGGTCCCTCACCAAATGCACTTAAGCAAAGTAACCAGTTGTGAGAGAAGAGGGAAGGTCCTTTCACGGATCAGTGACTAGTTAAAAGATAGATAACAAAGGGTAGAAATAAATTGTAGTGTCTCCTACTGATCTATATAGGACCAGCACTGGTCAACATCTTCATACAGGACCTTGGAAAAGGTGTGAATAGCAAGGTAACAACATTTGAGGTATGTCTAGACTACACCTCTCTGTCTACAGAGAGATGTAGATTAGGCACGTCGAAATTGCTAAGAAAGCAGGGATTTAAATATCCCGCGCTTCATTAGCATAAACATGACCACCTAAATGGCAATCTAGACAGGGATCTGTCGAAAAATAAACTCTTTTTCGACAGATCCTGTATTCAAAATGAGATTTACAGGATCTGTCAAAAAAGTGTTTATTTTTCGACAGATCCCCGTCTAGACTGCCGTTTTTTTCCCGAAAAAGCTCCATGTCGAAAAAATAGGTGGTCATGTTTATGCTAATGAAGCGCGGGATATTTAAATCCCTGCTTTCTTAGCAATTTCGACGTGCCTAATCTACAGCTCTCTGTCTACAGAGAGGTGTAGTCTAGTCATAGCCTTGCAGATGATTCACTATTACTCTAACTAGATAAGTTTAAAACTATTTGTCAAGCGTTACAAAAGGATCTCACTACAATGAGCAGATGGGACGCAAAGTGGCAGATGAAACTGAGTATTCATCAATGCCAAAGAACGTACATTGGAAAAAATAATTCCAACTATCCACACAAAATGGCAGAGTCTAAATTACTGTTACCTCTCAAGAAAGAGATTTTGAAGTCACTGGGGGTAGCTCCCCAAAATCATCACGCCAATGTGTGGTGGCAATAAAAAAAAAAAAGCGAACACAATGGTGAGGACTATTAAGAAAGGGATAGATGATAAAACAGAAAGTCTCATGCTGCCACTATATAAAGCCATGATATACACCACACCTGGAATAATGTGTGCATTTCTGGTGGCCCCATCTCAAAAAGATATACAGGTTGAACCTCTCTAATCTGGCACCAGCAGGATCTGAACCAGAGAATTTGCCAGACCACAGGACCTCCATATTGTCTAGCAGCGTTACCAACACTTCAACTGCTTACTGGCCTCTGAGAAGACATGGAGGGGTAAATTAGAGCTAAATCACAACACAGAACACAGAGCCAGGACTGGGGGCTGTAAACAAACCTTATGGGACTGTGGGAAACTTGGCCACACCATGATAAGTGGACGTCTGGCAAACTAGAATCCTGCTGGACCACAGATGTGGCTGAATCAGGGTGCGGGAATAGAAAGGTTCAACCTGTAAGAGAACTGGAAATGATGCTGATAAGGAGAATGAAAATGATTAGAGATGTGGAACAGCTTCTGTATGAGGAGAGATTTAAAAGACTGGGACTGTTCGTTTTAGAGAAGAGATGAATCTGAGGACTAGAATAAAGATCTACAAAATCATGACTGGTGTGAAGAAAGTGAATAAGGAAGGGTTATTTAGCATGGGTCATAATAGGAGGATCAGCCAATGAAGTTAATAGATGGCGGGTTTACAACAAACCCTGAGGAAGTACATCTGCACACAATGCAGTCGGCCTGTGGAACTCCTTGCCAGGGGATGTTGTGAAGGGTAAGTGCCATCAATGGCTCTCAGCCAAGTCGGTCAGGGAGACAACTACATACTCAAGAGCTGAGTCTACATTGGCGCGATCCTGTGCAAAAGCGGCCGCTTTAGTGCCAAAACTTGCTGCCTGTCTACACTGGCCGCGTGCTCTTGCGCAAGAGTGCTGATGTTCTAATGTATGAAATCAGGGCTTCTTGCTCCAGAACGCTGATGCTCCCGCTCAGGAATAAGCCCTTTTGCACAACTGTTCTTGCGCAAGAGGCCAGTGTAGACGGGCAACATGACTTTCTTGCGCAAGAGAGCGTCTACACTGGCATGGAGGCTCTTGCGTAAAAGCACATGCCAGTGTAGGCGCTCTCTTCTGGAAGAGTTCTTGCGCAAGAAGCTGCCGATGTAGACATAGCCAAGGTGCCCTAAATATGTTCTTACATTCTCTGCCTCTAGGACACAGCAGACTATGTGAAGCCCGTGACGTTTTCAGTCGAATATGGGCTGGCGAGCCCCGACCATGGTCCCATGCTGGATGACGGCTGGCCAACTGCGCTGAAAGTCTCCGTACGTAACGGTCGCTGTGCACTAGTTACCAAGAGCACCTTTCACCCCCGGCTCTCGGAGCGCTTTGTGGGGGTGGCTAAGGCTTATTCTCACCGTTGTATAGCTGAGGAAACTGAGGCACAGAGCAGCTTCATGAGGGTGGGTAATAATTTTTGATGGGAGGGGGCCACTCCGAGAATTTGGTAAGGGGTCAAGGGCCACACTCTGGGATGAGGGGTCTGGGATGGAGGTGGAGCAGGTTTGCTTAGTGCCAGCTGTGCCCCCAGGGACTATCCCTGGGAGATCCCCCTGGTGTGGGGAGGATTAATA